ATACAGGTGAGCACTTTGCTGAGGGCGCTGGCAAAAGACTCAGGATGATCCAGCTCTATCCTAGCTGCCATGTAGGGACATGCTCGGATTTCTCGACTTTGCTTGATGTCACCAGCTGCAGCTTTAAAACAAAGATGGCCACGAGGAAAGCAAGATAAGTTCACTGTCAAGTCTGCCAAGAAACTGCGGATGAGGGTATCCCTGCAGCGTTGGCATCGGCCCTGGACCACCGAGGCCAGGACCCCAAGCCTTAGAGCCACTGGCCAAGCTTAGTCAGTTGCTGGTATGTGATGGCTCTCATGGTGAGCTTTCGCCAAGCAGCTGCATGCTGACAGCTAAAGCGTGAAGTGTCCTGGGTGCGGCACGCCGGGCACGACATTCACCTTTTCCCGTACTGCATGTGGACGCACGTGTTCACTACATGTGCCTGGCACTACCTCCACCCCTGACTCCAATCTTCAAACCAGGTTGAATGGAAGAATCTTTACGAGTCAACACCCACGAGACTGCTGGGGGCAGGAGCAGTCAAATCACTGAATCGAATTGTCTGCGACCTGCAACGGAGGCAGAAGACATGTGTAAGTGCGCAAGCCAAATTGTAAGTCTCAAAGCTGCAAACCTGAAATCCTCCAGCAGCTGCAACTCACCACCAAAGCCAGCTCTTGGAAGTCTCGTGACCTTGACTTTCTTGACTGTGGTTTGCCAATCTTTTCTGCAACTGGGCCCAAAGGAAGAAAAAATAATCGTGACAATATTGCCTCACTTGAGTCATCTTTTGCCAACACAATTTGACAATGCTGAACTTGGATACGAACCCCAGAGCGAGCATTGTCAGTCCAGCCACCCAGCCTTTATGTTGCTTGCGAACAGCGAACACGGTGCACTATTCAAGCTCTGTAACGAAGAGCTTGGCAGTGTCTCTCTCTGCAGGCAAGCTTCGGAGGTTCATGCGTCTCTTTGAATCTCAGCCATCCAGATGCAAAGTTATCATCAACTTTCAATTCAAGTGGTGGAATTAGCCTGAGAAGCTGTTGTAGACTGATTTTGCTGTACGTCATACACCGCCAAAATTCACAGCAAGAAGCTCATCACTCGTCTTGCCAAGAGGTGCCTCCAATCTCATGAGACGGATGACTTGTGTTCTTGCGGATCAAAGTAAAAGAAGAAAATAAGCAAAGCTAAACTCTTTAAAAAAAGGTCTAACACCATGAACCTCAGGTCTGGTCGCAACCCCTCTAGACTCTGAAAGAGCCTGCTCCGCCGTTCCAGCACCTCTGCCTGTTCAAGTGCGATGATCCAAAGGAATTGAATGCAACCAGAAAAAAAAAGTAAAAAGGATGAATCCTCGCCTCGCCCTTCCGCAGCAAATGGAGCCTGTCCAGGACTCTCGCTACCACATCTTGAAAGTATTCCTTCCAAACGATGAAGTCCTCACCTTGTCCTCAGTCTCCACTGTCATTGTTTCCAACTGCAAGGCTGCATCTCTCAAAAGCATTGCAGCATAACCGAAGGAAAGCATCAATTGTTTGTGCCTGCGGTGGTCTTGCGTCTTCATCAAAGTCTGACAGTGAACCTGACGCTGCATGGATTGAACTTTGGCTGAACACTGATGTCCGCAGTTATTTCTTGCGATTCTGAATTGGAGGCAAGACCGTGGCAATGCTGGAGATGCTGTCAGGTGGGTAACGATTTATCTGCATCGATTCTTGCATGAGCAAATGCGCTTCGCATGAAGATGAATTGAATTCCACGCGGACCAAGGGCAATGCATTTCAATCCGAGCATATTTAGATGGAACCAACCTGCTGCCCTTTCAAAGATATACTTGGATATTAGCAGCATCCAAGCGTGCTAAAAAATGAATGCATGTATGTATGTATGTATGTATGTATGTATACACAGATAATTGATGATTGTGTGCTGAGAAGTCACCTGTCCACCCATGCTTCACCCTTTGATCAGCAGCACTGGGCCTTTCATGATCAAAGCGCCTTGTGCAGGGTTGTCCTCAAAATTTTCGAACACCAAAGTCACAAGGGTGCCAAATCCAAGTTCAACCAAATAGCGGTGCCTTGTCTCTGCCAATACCACCATCTCCAACACCAAGAAACCAATCACCGACTGGGAAAGTCACCTTAATTGGCAACGAAAGTGTGTGGGAAAGACTTGACTTGAGGCTGTTAAGCCTTAGAAAAGCCAATGCAAAGCCAATCCAATGCAAAGCTGTACAAGCAATCTCTGGGGTCAAAACCATCCTTTTCAGACGGCCAGCGGATCTGACCTCGATGGTTAAAAGTTAAAAGGTTTGGGCTCCATGACCTGGAGCCCATGCAAAAGAAATGCATGACTAGGCAAAGGAAGGTGGCTAAGGACGAAACGTCACCAAGCCAGAGTGCGTCTGTGGCACTTTGACCTTGAATTGCAGTCAAATCGGTACAAAAGAAGCATCTGTTCTGCTGTAAATCCGCCCGCACCGAAGGTGCTCAGGGCGTGATCATCCGGATGGCATCAACAACTGTAAGGTCAGGTTTACCTGGGGGGGGGCCCTTTTCGAGGCCAAAACCGTGAGTTTTTGATAGGTCGCGACTGCGGTATTAAAAAAATACTTTAAAAATATTGAGTTTTTTGACATGTGGTCTTCGATTTTCGACTTCAAGACGTTCTTTTTTTCATGTCTCTTGTCGGGCGGCCGGGCACCAGATTTTGCAATTTCGGAGCTGTTTGGGCGACAGTTTTCGCCGTTTTTGCTGGGCAAAAACATTGGTTTTTGCAGTGTTTTTGTAAATTGTCTAGGCTTGACGTCTTTGCACGAAAACGTAAAAAACCTCGCAAATAGCAGCGTTTTTGGCGGCCACGTTGTTGAAAACGTCGCAAATTGCAGTGTTTTTTGACAGCAGGCTCAAAAACACTGTAAATAGCAGCGGTTTGGGCCACGGCAAGCTCAAAAACATCGATATTTACAGTGTTTTCTCCCTCGCAAAGCATAAAAACACTGAAAAAATATGGTAAAAAGTGGTGCTTTTGGCCACGGCAAGCTCAAAAACGTCGATATTTGCAGTGGTTTCTGCCTCACAGAACGTAAAAACACTGTAAAATACGGTACATGTACATAGTCGTGTTTTCGGCAACGTCTACGTCACAAACCTCGCTCCGTCAATCACGGTGCTTTGCCGAGATGGAAGAATCAAAGGGGCCATTCAACCAGCGCGTCAAACTTCCAGCTGCAGGTTGCTTAACTGCTTGAGACTCCATCTCGTAAGTTACTCATACCTGCTCTTCAAAAAAAATACTGGGATGTTCAACTCTTAACTGACTCATTACTCTTCATACCTGCTTTTGACCTCTCAGGGCCCTCTGCTCTCTTGCCGCTGATTAGCAGACTGTGGCTTAATGGAGGGGTTTGTAGAAACGGATTGGGGCAGTTCAAGATTCTACGATGCCAATGTTTTGCATATATCTATTATTCTTTCGTGGCGGTGCGGGCGGACCTAGCCGCGGAGCGGCGTGAATAAGTATGACTTGCTGGATTTACATGAGCTCCTAAAAGCTCCCAAAGGCTCCCAACTTTGCTGAGCTTCCTGAACGAAACGCACTCCCATGCATGTTGAAAGACTTTAAACTGGAAAAACCAGCCTGGCCGAGCAACTCGCTCGTTGTGTTGTGCGTCACTTCCTGTCCCACTGACACAGGCCAGCTACCTCTAGTGTCTGCACCCGAGCTGCCTGGTTCTCTGCACTTTGATTTTGTGCATCAAAGCTGACTGCCTGTCAATGGTCAACGAGGCTGCTTGCATTCTGTGGTGTTTCGAGTTCCCAAATGTGTAAAATTTACTGGGGCCTTGAAGTGGCTTGAGTGCCACACAGTCCGAGTATCCGCCTCATAATGAACTGTGCAATACTTTAAATGCCAACAAGCCAACTTTAAAAACCTGATACTGTAATGGGCAATTCTGCTCCTACAATTTGCTTGTAAGCTTGGGGATCGGGCTCCTTTTGCTGCAAAGGCACCCATAGGGCATGCAGAGAGTGCATGATGCCAACTGACTTTGACTCAATACTGAGTTGCTTGCAATTCTGATTCGTGAATTCACATGAGAAGGCCTGATGCAATAAGGATCTTGGTCTCTTGTTTATGAGTACCAATGCAGGCGCACTGTACTTTCTCTCTCTCTCTCTCTCTCTGTCTGTCCAAGAATTTTAATCTACCCTACCGAACCACTGACCTGAACAGCTCTTGTTGCATGCACACTAAAACACTCAGCAAGTTACGACATCCAGTTGAGCAACCGCGGAGGCGACAGAGATGACAACATCAGGCTGCACTCTACTCATAAGTCTTCTAAGACAAACCAAACATACACGAATCAGGGGCACAATTTTGCAACGCGCAACTGTTCAACGCATGTTCGGAGCTATCGCTGTGGCTCATCCCAAGTACTTGCCTGGGCATTTAGCAGTTTATTGCTTGAACTGGTTCGACTGGTTGTTCGAGGAATGGCTTTGGACTTTGCACAAGAGATTAGTCACTCAAGTCGCTCTGTGAACGGGGTTTAGCTCAATGTCTTCTCCTTGGGCTTGAATGCCTGTCAAACCAGTACGCATCCAAGCCACAAAACAGGGAAGAAATAGTTGCTTCTTCCTGTAAATTTATTGAGAATACCTCGTGAAAAAAGGAAACATTGCACCTCAGATGCTTTCTTGGCAGAGTCGGCCCACTTTTTTGCTTCATCGGCAAGCCTTGGATTCAACATTGTTCCAAAGAGACCTGGGTCTAACATTGAGGTCACGAGGTCTTGAACTTCAAACATGTTGCTCTTGCAAGGTACTGTTGAATACGCGACTCTGATCGCTCAAGTTCTGGTGCTACATCCTGCACCTCAAGGAATTGCTGGGGACACAAGACTGCAAAACAGGTCCAATGCATTGGTAGCCTGGCAATTGAGAAGCACCCTTTGTCAACTGGGTGCAGCACTGAAAATGTTGCAGGAGCAAACGCTGGTGCTGGAGCTGGCGGCGGAGCTACCTGAGATCACGCGTCCAACAACTACTAAGCCCGATGAGTTGAGGATGTCATGAAGCACCTTGGACTTTTGTCGCAGACATGACAAAGGCTGATCGGCAAATGCAAATGAATTGATCTCGGCTTTGGAGACACCTTCATTCCGCTGTGCTTTAACTTCACTTTTTTCGCTTCTAGCTTGGAGGCCATCGCTAGTAGGTATTGATCTCGGCTTTGGAGACACCTCCGCTTTGGAGACACCAAATGTCCCTTTTGCTCTGGCTACATCTTCAAATCAATGGCCCTCGCTTTGTAATCCTGCAAAACACATGCGTGCACAACTGCAGGAGGTTCTAATTGCTTCTTTGAGTTTAGGTTCGCTTCCCCAGAGAACTGTGATTGATCTTAAACTAGTGGTCGTTCATGCATTGTCAAAGTGCTTGGCTCTTAAACACACAAAAGAACAAGTTGCTGCTTGGAGATAAGTTGTGCAAACAGGAACAGCCTTACACCATGCAAGTGAGAAACGCTGTATATATCTCCTCCGCTGCCTTTGCGTACCTGCGACAGCGCCAGGCGCACGTTGAACTCTGAAACTCTCCACATGCAACCAAAAAGCCTGTGCACACATGCACATGGCAAGCGTATCCAAATAAGCTCTGCAACTCATTTTGCAACTGGCCGTGCCCGTGAATTAGGCAACTCGGCCAAGGAGATGGACTGGATTCTCATGAGCCTTGAATGGCAGCACCATGACAGGCTAAGTGCAAGCGACCTGACAACCAGTTTCGGTTGGCTTGAGGTCGGAAACGCTTTGAGAGCAACCCAACGGGCCGAGGGTCTGGTAACACAGTTGTGAGCATGTGTTACTGTTAAAGAATGGTGAAGTATCCGCCCATGGCCCAACGACTGATTCCAGCCAAATCTTCACTCCAGGTCTGAATCATCGTAGTCAGCTGCCATTGCAGCTCGGTCGCGCTCACTTTGCTGACGCCTCTTCTCAACTTGATAATCAACTCGTTTCTTTTGCTTCACGCTCCGTGTGCTCTTGGCATCTCTAGTCCAGCCTTTCACAAACATCTCTTTCTGGTCATAGTACAAGTCAACTGAATCTCCGGTTGTGGGTAGTCTCTGAAGCGTTGGCTCTTGTGCTTGGAGAGGAGCCGCTGTCTTGACAGAAACATTCGGAACACCCATTCCAGGCACCCCAGGTTTGCGACGTTGATTGGAGACAGTCGTCCATGCTGGTGAGCCAGGTGGGCTGAACTGCCGTGTGAAGGCAGGTGAACCAGGTGGACTTGTTTGACGTGCAAAGTGAACAGGTGATGATGATGCAACCGGTGATGTCGACGCTGCAATGGGCGATCCCAATTGCACTGGCCTGGGACGTGCAGCAGGGTAGCCGCCTGGTTCAGGCCCAGGAGAGCCCGATCGTTGCCTTGTAAGACCCATGGGAGCACTTCCAATCGAGTCTCGACGTACTTGCCATGTGGCCGGAGGTGCTCCACCTGGGAGCAGGTCAAACAAACCTCCACCACTTCCACCTGGCCGAACTTGCGAAGTGGGAGAGACGGAGGCAGGCAATGGCATACTGGGGGGCAGCTCCCCCAATGTCGGCATTGGACTGAAAGCATACCCATTTGGACTCAAAGCAGGGGAGTTTGCAAAAGAGAGGCATGGAGAAGCGTGGGGCGACTCCAAAACTCGGAAGGTGCTACCAAAGAAGACCTTGTTCCGTGCTCCCTGCTTGTCCGGCGCCAAGGGTCGTTGAGCCATCGGAAAGCCTCTTCCTCTGTGTTGCTGAAACGCTTGTGTTTTAGGCAAATGCTGTCGGCATTGTTTAGGCAAATACTGAAGAAAATGCAATGCTGTTTCGAGCTGCACAAAATGATATTGCCCCATTTTCTGGCGATCTGGAAGCTGTATTTGATGATGCGGAAAAGGCTGCGATTCTTTTGACAACCATCTGTCATGGTGCTTTGGAAACGCAGTTTTGCAGTCACTAGTAGTAACAAGAAACTACTAGGAACAAGTGCATCGCTTCTAGTAACAAGTGCCTTACTAGTAGTAACAAAAAGCTATTAGAATTAAACACAACTCCAACTAACTTGCCTTTTTTGGCCGCTTTCGACTTTTCTGTTTGGCCGACGAACACCTGCCACAACAGCGGATCTGATATATGAATTCCCAAAAGCACAATGTCTACAATGCACAATCAATGAACTTGATTCGCATACTCTATGCCACCTTTGAACGCTGTTCGCTTTGACCGCAGTTTCTCCAGCTGCTTTCGCTAAAGCATGTCTTGCCTGAGGAAAAAAAATAAATCTGAACTGGTCTTCAATGAGCTTGCCGCATGAGTTTTGCCCCATGCGCCTCATGTTTTCTTTGTTCTAACAGGTCGCTCTCAGCAATTTGTTTTGCTTGTTACAGAAGTTGGCGTGTACAAGTGCAAACACAATAATTGTGTCGTTCTATATTATATGCACTGCACTTTTCTCGATGTATATAGATCTATAATGAATTTGCTAAGGACTCCGGGATATCAAGGAATAACCACCACAATCTATTGATGGGGAGGGTTACCGCAAGAGATGCAATGGAGTGGATGACCCGCTGGCGGGTCGGCGCACGACGGGGAGTGTCGGAACACTTGGTACCCGTTGTGTGGTTGGAGGGCGTGCGAACGAAGGGAGCGCGTTACGGCAACCTAGCGAATGCACGAAAGCGAAAAGCGCGAGAGGCAACGGCACGGCGAACGAAGCGACCGACGTGCGCGGATGCTGAAACAAACGCGGGCGCGCCTGTTTCTTGAGCCATAACGGGCGTCGAGTGAGACGAAGGTCACGGACGACGACCTAGACTCTACATGTGAACCTGCATGACAAGTTAGGGGTTATCCATGCTTCACAAACTTTGACTCCCCCCTCGCCGTTTTGGCGCGCCATGGGTTCTATGTACAGGTTTTAATTACCGCGCATGAAGCAGCGGCTTTTGCATCTACTTGGGATCCTAACGAAAAGCTTCGGTCCCTGGTGGACGGCTGTGGCTCACGGATGTCCGTTCGAATGCCAAGGAGGCATAAGGCCTTATACCACTTTTGTGGCGGCAGAGCCTTTGTGAAGATATCCGCGGCCTGTTCGTTAGTATCTATGTATTGGACCGTTATGCTTGGATCGTCCAGACACTCCTTCAAGGAGGACAAGTTGATTTTATGCGTTCGGCCTATGTGACGAAGCTTGGGGGAATACCCCTTGCGAATCAAGTCTACTGGCCTCTGCAACAACTTTTCCCACAGCTGGAGTGCGGGAGTGCCCTCTTGGTAGAGGGAGTGGGCAAGACTCACAACCTCTGATTCAGTTGTTGAACGTGAGGTTGATGTTTGTCGTTTCGAAATCCAAGCCAACGGAAAGAAAGTATTAGGTCCTTTAAGGGTTAGGAACCCCGCTGATGTTGACTTGACATCTTGGTGGTCACCCCCGAAATCGGCATCGACATAGAGCTCGAGTCTCAGATCCTTGGGATCATCTTGACAAGAGGCTGTTAACCTATAAGCCTTAACAACTTTTTGTCATGTACTCTAGTCCAGGCTTGGACTTTAGTAGCTAGGTCGTTAATAGGCTTAAGGATGTCAGGTCTAGACAGGCAGGCCAACCACAGGGCCTTCATTACTATTGAACATGCTTTAGGGGCGAGCTCACCAGGTGAGTCCTCGTCCTCCTTTGGCCATGCTCCGTCAGGGATGAAGGGGGTTTGAGCGGGTTTGATCTTATCGACCTTTGCGACGGTCTTATAAAGGTCTATGGTTTGTTGGGCATAGTGTCAAAGATCAACGCATCTGGGGCCGCGCGTAAAGCAGCGTTCTCTTCCCTGAACTTTATCAAATTTAGCGTAAACATGGTTTCTACCGAGGATTCTATATATGGTTTCGGGAGGCTCTACGTTTACTTCTGACATTAGTTTATTCCAGAACGGAGCGCGATGCTCGGACGGACCAGATAATGTCAAGTCATCTACGTACGTAGAGAGCATGAGACCTGTCCCTTTGAAATAAAAATTTCCGGGATATTCAGGAATCTCCTCACCGTCCATTTTCTTCAGAATCCCCTTTAAATGACATTCCCACATCCCCCCTGCATCGGGATGCCCATATAATGCCCTTACTAGAAGTACTACTGGGCGGACGAATTTCACTCTCCACCACTCCGGGCGGAGTTCGGGTGGGAGTTCAATCCACGTTTTGTCGTTTTGTACTTGCTTTTCAAAAAGGCTTGGACGTACGCCTTTACGGCGTCCGCCGCGGTGCAGGAGTGTCCCGGCAATGAGCCGTAAGCTAGACAGGCGTTTAAGCCCTGTACGGACGTTGGGCGCGCGCCCAACTCTTCGTAGACAGCTGCTACGCCATTTTCGTCGCGCGCACAGTCGCCGCGATACACTATACGCCCTTTCATTTTATGGAGGTGTTCTGCCAACGCCCAAAATTTCATCGAGGCGATAGTCATTAAGCGGCCAGAGTGGACCGAGACTTTACTAGCTTTATCTTCCTCTTTTACTGCCTCGTATTCCCTTACTGGTTCGAGCTCCCATGTACCGATGTCGGTGAGGGATGTCGCCTCTTCCTTAACCTTTTCAACGGCTTTTCGGTTGGCAAGCATTTCTGCCCTTGACAGCAGTTTAGTTACCATTGCATGTACCCTACCGTTATGTTTAGGATCTTCGCAAATATCGAAAGCAGCGCGGACCAAGGTTTCTAGATCCATCAGGCACTCGGCCATTTGTTCTGCAACCTCATCGGTCTCGACAGCTAATGCGAAAGCATCGGCTCCTGCTAGGGCGGAGATGTGTTTTAGGGATTGCTCTTTTTCCCTATGTTCCTCTTCCCGCGCCTGGGAGGCAGCGGCTGGGACTACACATGGCATGGCTGGGGCTGGAGCTAAGTTAACCTTTTGTGGGTACAAAGCTCTGGCAATTTCACAAACCATTTGTGGTGGATAAAAGGCAGTTTTGGCAGTTTGCGAACCAACAGCTCGTGTGGGGAGTGAGTGCACTTATGTTGCGAAAAGGCATCTACGATGCGCTGACTTGTTGTCATGAGTCGCCATGTCTTCTTTATGGGTCTACCCTTGGTGGATCGAACCCCCACTGCGCAACCATCGAATTCAACTAGTTGGAACTCTGGATGTGCATCGAAAAATGACTTGACGTCATGACGTGACCAGCTCTCACAACCTTTTGGCCACTCAAACGTGACCGTACCCCCCCGGCAAGCACGATCTCTTGAACTCCTAGTGAACTCTGCGAAGAGTTCACGCACCTGCTGAGTATGGGCACGGGCAAAGCGTGCTCCACCCTTCGACCTGTTCACCCTCTGCCAGGGAGAACCTGACGTGCACGGTATTGACGCCCAAAGATCTGGCACTTCTTCACAAGTTTCCAAACGATTGTGCAACTGTGCTTGCACGTCAGGGTTACTTAGGTCTAGATGTTCCTTGCTTAAAGGGACATGTGGGATTCCCAATTCTAGAAATGTTTTATGTGTCTGAGAATCAGGAGCGCGCGCAAACTCAAACATGCAACTGTTGAACTTGGGTGTCTTCTTCTTACCTCTATTTCTCTTCTTTCTTGCATGACTTACTTGTGGTGCTTCGGACATAGCTGGCGTTCCAAACACAGGCACACCACTTTCAGGTCTAGTATGATCTAGTTGGGTCCTTTGTGTGGTGTGCGGGGTTATTGACAGGCCGGCTATCACCGTCGGTGCAGCGCTAGTGTCCTCTGGATGTTCTGGCGGTGGGTCCACCGGTGGAGGTGGCGGCGGATCTTCAGCGGCTGGGGGCGGAATCTCTTCCACGGAAATCCCCTCCTTTCTTTTGGCGAAAAGATCTGCTTTCTCCTCTTCCACAAGACGAGCGAATCGTTTGCGGCTCTCAGGTGTGTGGTAACGAGTCTTTCGCTCACACGCCTTGCATCCAGGGGTTTCACTAAATTTGATTACTCGATCTAGAGTCATGTAGACACTCCTAGATTTGGGACCAACAGGTGTTGGTGGCGCTGCTCCCTTGCTTTCTTCACCGAATGGCACTTCCTTCATTGGGTAATCAGGCATGTCTAGCTTGGCTATGTCGTCGAGAATACCCAGTGATCCACCATGGAGGTGTCTCAACTTCGTGGATGCCATCGGGAAGATTGGCGGGCCCTCCTCCGTGTAGATTTCTGCTTCAGGAACATCTAACACATTAGGGCGCTTACTAACTTTAAAATCCATGTAATCCATGATTTTGGCTACATAACGAGACTTATGATCGTGCGGTTGTCTGGTCCGCTGGTCCGCTGGTCCGCCGGTCCGCCGGTCCGCCGGTTCGCCGGTCCGCGGGTCCGCTGGTCCGCTGGTCCGCTGGTCGCTGGTCCGCCGGTTCGCCGGTCCGCTGGTCCGCTGGTCCGCTGGTCCGCCGGTCCGCTGGTCCGCCGTCCGCCGGTCCGCTGGTCCGCCGGTCCGCTGGTCCGCTGGTCCGCGGTCCGCTGCTCCCCTCCTCTCATGGATGCGCTCGTCCAGTGGTCCGGTCTGCGGTTCCGGTGGTCTATAAACTGGACATGGAAAGATTTTTTTGTTCTTCAGACAGCAACGTTAGGCAGCGTCTGACAATCAACCTCGTTGGGCCTGCCCTGCAAGCATGATGCGGCGGAACGGAAGCGCCTCACCTATACCTGGGGCTTGAAGCCGAAAATCAGTAACAGAAGTCACCCTCATTGAACTGAAGTGATCATGCTTTGGAATGCCCACCAGAATCTCTGATGTACACCGTGCACCCTGCTTTTTCCAAACTTCAACGCCCCCATCCCTGGCCACCGCTCCTGCTAGTCTTGCACCACAGTGTAGGCGCAAGGTCTGCCTACGCTGCTGTTGTGGCTGACAGGTCTGCAATTAAGGGAGACAAGTTCGGATCTAGATTGTCATGACCAAATTCTGGGAAGGGCTCGGCGGGTGGAATACCTACGGGTGGATTGGTTTCACGCAGGTTTTGCAGGACCCACTTGGCTGCCTGCACCTGAACAACCAAACACCTGCGGATGAGCTCTTTTCACACTTCCTTAGCGACTGTTGTATATCTCCACAACGGCTCACTCCTCATCTCTGGGCCGTTTGCGCCGATCTTCCTGGTGCTTCCTTTCCTGGTTGCTGGATGCTTTCTCCATGGCGGCCACCAGCTCCCGCAAAGTCAGCCCACAAGCCCTCATCAATTCATTGTGGTACTTCACCTTGCCCTGCGCTGTGTCTGGGATCACTTTCAAACACAAAGTCTCAC